CACCAGGGGTTCTTGGGTCAAGTCTTGGCTGCATATCACGTTTACCTGGTTTGGGGGGGGGGCTTGCTTGTGTCTAGCTGTACCGTTTGTGAAAGCCAAGGCCTTGCGACACATGAGTGCTCACCATTCGCAAAGAGCGCGCGGCCTTGACAAACCAGCGACGCATGACGCCCTCCCCCCATTACAACCAACCCGTCGATTCTGGAATACTTCTCACGTCGCACCACTCAGAGATGGAAAACCCGTCTCGGACCTTGGAGGTGCTCTGAAACCGAGAGCGCCCCTGGGGGCCTTTTTTCTCCATAAGCTAATGCGCCAAACTGCATCCTGCAGCTGGCCCTGCGCTGCTTTGCTGCGGCTTGGATCGACCTCCTCTTGCTCTCCCCCGCCGTATCAAGCAACTCTATGCGTGTTGCCCTGTCCTTCTTCTTCCTGCAAAAACCCTTGTCTCGGACTCTCGCAGCTTTCCCCAGAGCAAGTCGCGTTGCATCGCTGACAGACACCGGATCCCCGGATTCCTCCCCACCGCGAACCAACTTGATAGTTCTCCTGAGTCGGTTCGACTACAGAAACGAGGAAACAAGAGAAAAAAGGTCCGAACCCCAGTCTTCATTCTTCAGCTTGGTCTAGACGCGCTTGGCAAATCATTACTATGGCTCTCTTTTTTTTCCGGGGAGCCGCCGGCCCCCCTCTCTCCGACACAGATGGATGAGACATCTGTCAACCACTGTGTCACCCAACCCATGCTGAATTCGTGTCTGAGGCTTATTCTTTCAATAACTACTGCCAACATGACATTGATCGACTGTGGCTTCCGGCGCGGACGAAAAGGGAAGACCGAAAACCGTCCGGTTGGACAACGCACACACACACACAAGCGTCCTACAGAAATGAGTGTGCAACGGTTTCGTTCCGTCGGCAGAGGACATCCAGACGATGGCGTCATTGCTCAAAGTGTTAACCGTACATTGCCCGTCGCCGTAGTTTGTACATGCGACGTACTGATACAAAGACGCCTTTTCTTCACATCACCTGCCCCTCGGCATGGGGAAATAGTTTGAAGCCCACCTCCAAAACAGCCAAGCCAGCCTTGCGCCTGCCTGGCTGGGGGCAACGTTTTTGGTGTGGAGAGTCGGAATTGTGTGCTATTATTTGAATGGAGTAGTAATGCTTATTTGTTCTGCTGGCCCCCTCCGGCTCCGCAAATCCGGACCTGCGGTGAGCCGAGAGCAACCTTTTGTCAACCAAGTACCTACCAGTCGTGCGCTCAACGCTGTTGTATTCAAAGTATATTCTGTCTCGTACGAGTGCACCTCTGACATGCACAATTCGTAATAGGAGACGGAACAAGACTGTAACTGACTCGACATGACTGCCATGTCCGCTTTCCTGCTATTCCAACCCGGATCCTAAAAGGTTTGGCCCCTCATCATCCTTCTATATTTATCTTTTCCTCGCGCTCGCTCGTTATCTGGCCCAACAATTAAGTAGATTATAATTGGAACTGTAAATGCCTCCTTCCCCGCCATGGCACCAGAACTAGACACAATCAGCAATGCCAGGTTCAGCTCATCGATCAGAGAAATCATCCGCGTATACATCAACTAGCCGGGGTTGTCGAATCCCCAAACGCTCCTCTTGGCCCCCTCTCATGCCATGGTCTTTTTTGGGGCGTTTTTCCCCTCCCACCATGAAGAAGAACATTGATAACAAGGCAGCCAACCAGCCTGGAGGGAACAGCGCATCACAAGACATCAAGGCAGCGCAGCCGCCCGTCGTTCAGGCGGGCATGCCTGTTGCCCACCAACCGGCGTTGCGCTGGCCTTTTTCGATTATCCGTGGCGCTGACGAGGGGAGGAATTGAGAATTGAGCAATTGTGCTCGTGGTCACGTCGTGGCAGCCGCTGCCGGTTACCCGCACCACCACCACCACCTTCGAACTCCTTTCAACAAATGTGGCTGCCTTGCATGGAACTGCTCCCCCTTGGCTTCTTCTTCTTTTCTGCAAAAATTGTACTCGCGTACAACAAGTCAGTCAAAAAAGATGGCGTTCCCCGCGCGGTTGAAACACACAAGAACCACACATGATTTTCGCGACCCCGCGCGCAGCAGCAAAGAAAAAGCCAAAACACAACACATAAAGATGGCGCTCATTTTTGCACATGGCTAACTAATTAACTAGGGTCCGTATTATCTGCGGAACATGTCCTTTGTAACGAGCCTCTGTTTATAAAAGTAAAGTAAAAGAAGATATGCCTCCCTCTGAAAGTCGGCGCCAACCCTGGGCAACAACGGGCGCCGCCTTTCAAGCCACAGTGACGAAAGGACCCTTTTTTAGCGCATCGCCCGTCGCCTTGTGTTGAAACTGCCTGAAAAT